CCTGCTGAAACAGTTTGACATTTAAAATCTTGGAAGCCTCTGCAACATTTTAAATTACAGTTCCCAAGTAGTCATTTACTATGTAGCAGATAATTTGCATATTAAAAATATAAATTACTGAAAACTTATTTAATAAACTAAACTTCCAATTGTAAGTTTTGCACAGTTGCTAAACCTGAATAAATCCAATAGGAATAGCCAGCTGGTATTAAACCAGAACGCCAGTGCTGTTTTATTAAATCTAAACTGACGACTCATCTGGGAAATCAGAGTTAGGGGGTTACCAAGTATTGTGCAAACATTGCCATAAGGGAAGCACCCCCCCCAATCTCTTCTCTTCTCACCGATTATAAAAACACCTAATAATCTCTTTGAATAGTCTCATTTTCAATGGCCTAATGTGCAGTCACCATTTTTCTAGTTGATGAATGGGTGAAATTCACTTCTGAGTCGTCAGAAATTTAACATATATGGCTAAGGGGAATTGCTGTTGAGAAAACAAAAAAGCAGTCCCCTTCTCTTCCTACAGTCACTTTGTGCCGTCTCCTCATCATTTTTCATCCTTATCAATATAGATCACAGGAGACTGACCCACAAACTTGGCTCTGCTTGGAATCTTTGGGATTCTATTGTACTACAAAGCCACCAGGGCCAGACTCGAGTGATCTCTTTTCCTATACAGTAGCACCAAGTGTGGTTCTATCATTCAGCATCTGTCTGTTATAGACTTGTGGCTACGGCACCAAAGATGAAGATTACGGCTGCGTTCCTTGCCCGTCTGAAAAGTTTTCCAAAGGAGGTTACCAGATATGCAGGCGTCACAAAGATTGCGAGGGATTTTTTCGAGCCACTGTCTTGACACCTGGTGATACAGAGAATGACGCAGAATGCGGGCCTTGTCTCCCTGGGTAAGAATATCACAATGAGTTTTTACAGACATAGCCTTCAAAGTGCATCAAGTGTCTTTTCCACATTGACACCTCTGATCTCTTCCGGTTTCCTCACCTGCTTATAAGTACAATGTCTATTAGTCATAGTTTAGGGTATTGAGAAAAATAATACTTGCCACTATGCAAAAGCTTTTAAGTAGTTGTAGTAAATAGGCATGTGCCTTTAAGACCACTGAAATGCAATAAACTGGAGGAATATTTCTTAGGGACAGAATGGGAAAAAGATGATGGCTTTTCCCTTAAAAACAGCAAATGAGACTTCCTGAAAAAGACCAGCTGTCAAGTTTTGCAATGTAAAGTATTTAGTACGTCTGTAGTACAGCTGTCTAAGATATGTCTACCCTACAGAAAAAAATTCCAAGACAGGGAGTCAGAACTGAGTTGGGCTTGCACTACAGGGCTAAAAATACTAGTGTAGACATTCCCGCTTGGGCTGGAGCCCAAGGTCTGAAAGCTACCTACATGCCAGGTCTCAGAACCTGGTTCTAGCCCAAGTGTTAATATCTGCCCTGCTATTTTTATCCCTGCAGCATGAGCTGGAATCATTTGACACAGGCTGGGGAGGCTGGTTGCTGCAGGATTTTTTGTTTGATTTTTTGCATTGTAGATGTACCCTCAAGAGCTACCAAAACCATATGGCCTTCTAATAACACCCTCTGAGATTAATAAATAAATCTTGTTCTGTGGCTAGTGCCAGTCCTTTATTATGGGAAGACAGCAGTAGGCAGGATAAAAACGAGGAATTCAGAGAGAATGAATTATCAAGCTGGTTTGAAGTGAACATAGAATAAATGCTACGTACTAGGGTCATCTTTGAGCTATACTGAAAATAGAGAGCATAATTCTGGAAGGGAGAGGAAAATATAAAAAGTGTTAGAACAAATAATCAAATCAAATATATTAGATGTGCTCTTTGGGCAAGTCTACACTAAAAGGTCCTACAGCAGCACATCTGGCAAAGACGCTATGTTGATAGGAGAAAAGTATTCCATGTGCATGAGAGACGGAAACTATATAGGCGGTAGATGTTCTCCTGCTGGTGTGGACATCCACTTAGGTTCCTGTAACTTGCGTCACTCAGGAGAGTGTCTTTTTCACACCACTGAGTGACACAAGTTAGATTGACTTACACAGAAGTATAGACCCGCCCAAAGATACATTGTCTTAATATCCAAAAGATATATACAAAAGCTTCAGAGAGGTAGCCGAGTTAGTCTTTAAGATGCTGCAAGACTATTCATATTTTTTTTAAGTTTTTCCAGTTACAGACTAACAAACCATGTAGATGGTATCATGAGCTTTCGTGGGTTGTGCCCATGAAAGCTCATGATACCATATACATGTTTTGTTAGTCTTTAAGGTGCTGCAAGACTATTCGTTTTTTGAAAGATATTGTCTTTTAATGGCTGCATACACATGTATGCATTTTTTCTAAAACTTTATTTTAGTTGGGTTTTGTTAGCAACAAAATTCATGATTTTTCTGAGATACATCTTTGCACCTTTTAGTTTACATTTACTGCTCCCACTGACATCAGTGGGAGTATGCAGTACGGGGACAGAAAGTACAAGATAGCTCAAACTACTTAAAATGCAGTTGTGCTAGTAAAAAGAGAGATTGCCATAATTCCATAGGGTACGTCTACACTTGCTCCCTAGTTCAAACTAGGTATGCAAATGTAGCTGACTGAAATTGCTAATGAAGCGGGGATTTAAATATCCCGTGCTTCATTAGCATAATCTTGCCCGCACGGCTATTCCGCTCGCCAGCTGATTCGAACCAGGAAGTGCACCCTGGGATGCATTAGTTCGAATCAAACCCCTTGGTTCGAACTAAAGCGTCCCAGAGCGCACTTCCTGGTTTGAATCAGCTGGCGAGCGGAATAGCGCGTGGGCGAGATTATGCTAATGAAGCGTGGGATATTTAAATCCCCGCTTCATTAGCAATTTCGGTCAGCTATATTTGCATCGCTAGTTCAAACTAGGGAGAAAATGTAGATGTACCATAGAGTCATGGCATCTAAGGCCAGCAGAGACCACTAGATCAGTTAGCCTGACTGACCATATATCTCAGACTGCCACCAAACCACACAGCACCCACACACTGAACCCAACACCTAAAATTAGATCAAAGTATTACTAGAATCATAGAGCTGGAAGAGATTTCAGGAAGTCATCAAGTCCAGCCCCCTGCCCAAAGCAGGATCAATCCCAACTACTGCCTACATGAGACTAATTGTGGGCCATGGGTAGAGAACAGCAGAAAATTGATTGACACATACCCAGTTAATCACAACTAGCAACCTGCACACGGTGCAACAGGTGGCTTAAAAACCAAAACCAAAAACAAGGTCTCCCTCCCCATCTGACCTACAGGAAAACGCTCTCTCAACTTCACATGTGATGACAATCAGACCGAGTTTATTGAATCAGTGATTCCATGTGAAATTCTCAGTTTATAGGTAAAAAGAAGGGCTTGTCTAGCTGCCAGCCAAGCCAATTTGCCTTGCAACTTGAAAAGAATCCCGCTTGACTTTCTCTTCATACATCACACCAACAGTAAGGAAGAATATGAAGATTAAACAATGGCCTCAGTCACACCTGTATAACCTCATGGAAAACTAATGGAGCTTCACAGGTATAACCAAGGGTTCAATCTGTAAACAATAAGGCTGCACAGCTGTCACTCGAGGCATGATGGGAAGATTCTGTTTGCGCACAGGTGAGAGTAGACTTTGGATTACAGCAGGTTTCTATTGCTAAACGGCTGGTGCGGGAGAAAGACAGACAGAAAGAATTCATTTGACTTTCAGATCCCACAGTGATTTTGTAGGGTTGGCAGCTAGAAAAACATCTTCTAACTTGTAAGCTGAAGAGGTTGGATATGAAATTAGTGAGCTAAAATATGGAACCCCACTGTGCAATTTTTACAGACTCAGACCCCATTATGGAGAGAAGCCCTCCAGGCTGCTCCTGCATAGCTGTGGAAAGCTGTAATAACTCCGGGCTGCTCTGCCAGACCAGGATATCTGGAGCAATCAAACTCTTGCCATCTGCTGAATGGGGACAGGGAGGCAGGATGGCATGTAGGCAACTCCCTGCCAGGCAAAAGCTCCTAAACACAGGAGTAATCCTCAGTGGGCAGGGCCTCAGTTTGCAGAGTAGAATGGCAGTTACCAAAAGTATTACGTGGAGTGTCCAAGATGGGTCAAATGCTATGATCTTGACCCAGGACTATATCCTGCCCTGGGTGCTTAAGCAGACATACCTCGTGGAATCAGTGGCTTTCAGTTCACACTTAAGACAAAATTCTATTCTATTAGTAGAGCTCTGCCTGCTGCTAAAGTGAACCCTCACACCACTTGTTTCAAATAACGCAGCAGATAATTGTATAATTTTGCCTCCGTATTTGCTATATTCCCTATAATAAATGTTTGTGAAGATTCAGGTATTTGGTGTGAGACCTTGGATCTCTCACACCCTCTTTGTGCCTAACCTCCCCATAGATAAAATGGGAATAATAGTATTTATCTATGCCTAGGGAGGTTGAGAGACTTAAAATCATCAATACTTGTGAAATACTGTGACATCTAGTTGGGAGGGTGTTAAAGACATGAAAAGCATTACAGTGGAAGATTCATGCCATCAAAATCCGTGAGAATTTTCTTCCTCTTGATCCACACTCTCCTTTATACAATTAGTGTTTGTGATTTGGTTAGTAAGTCCTTTCCAATATTGTCCAAATACTTGGAGCATAGTACAGTAACAGAGGGGAAAAAAATCGCTGTTTAAAGTTCAAAGAAACGGATTAAGGTTTGCAATTGGAGCGCTTACCTCAAAGCGCAGAGGAACACTTGCATGCCCTCTAGCACCTTCCCCAATTCTTTTTTTTTGGGGGGGGGGGGAGGAGGAACAAAAAATAAACTTGTCATGCTGTATCTTGGTGAAAACTGAAGAAATATTTATTCAGCTTGATTTGATAAACTGAAAGAAGGGCTGTTTATCTTTTAAACCATTGTGGCAGTCAGATACTGGATCTACACTCTCCCATATTTATCTTTAGGGGGCTATAAATTGGCCTGCCATTCTCACTTGTGGTTTGGCAATAATTCACTGCTTATTTATTATGCAGCACTGATAATCCACAGAAGAATAGTTAGCAAAGGTGGGGAGGTAGACTGGGTACGGAAAGAATAAAGAGAAAGAAATGAGTATCTTTTCAAGTCTACTAAAAAAAGCCAATATCCACTAACTTGTGGCCTCTCTTAGTTATGTCTACACTACAACAGAACACCCACAGCTATTCTAGGTCAGCTGACTTAGATTTGTGGGGCTCCAGCTGTAAAAGGCTATAAAAATTACATGTTTGGGATTCCAGGGGTTCCCAGAGCCAAGACTCCAGCCTGATTCTATATGGCTACACTGCCCTTTTTATAGCATCACAGTGTTGTTTAGGTGTACCCTTTTGTATGTTCAGATACCCTGTTTTTTGTATTCTTACCCTTTTATTACCCAAATGTGACCAGTCAAAGTTTCAGACCCTAAGGATGTCCCATTTGGGAGTAGAACTTGATGATGAAGCCTGGTATTTTCTTTGATAGCATTTTGTTTATTTAAACAAAATGTGCAAATTCCTGCATCTCCAAGCAGATGAGGGAAGAGAACCAACAGGAGCAGTGCCTTAGCTTACAGGCTCAAGCTTTGTTCAGCCAGCTTCCCCGAGCTAGACCTCTCTCTGAGGTTCTCTAAGGTTACACCAGACTTGTAGGTTGTTCCTTGGCTTTTTTGATCTAAACATGAGTCTCATTTTGTGCCTTCACACACACTTACCCAAACAATACTGAGCAAAACCCTTCCACTCAGTACTTGGGTTCACAACACCCTTTTAACCTCAAGTCTCTCGCCAAAGGAAATTTTCTTGACAATTATGGTAACAGAAGGGTGTATTCACATCCCATCTTAAAGAAGTTTGTGATTTGTGCAGTCACCAGTGCCTTGCAGTATAAAACAGTACTTTAAATCATTTATTATATGTACTAGCTGGCAGGCCACAGAATAGTAAGGAGGTCAGTAATTACCTCTATCTATATGTTACACTGTCTGGAGTGACTCATTGCGAGCACCAAGCTGTCAGAAAACAGGGCAGACGCCTCAAACTGGTAGTTTATTCTATAATCAAATTCCACCAAGCCAACAACAAATGTGAACTCCTGCATCACTGTACCAATCTTGTTGTCAAGTCACAGATGGTCCTCTTAGACTCTCTAATCTATTTTGCCATCCAAACCAGACTTCATGATAATAGTTGCAATAACTAAAAAAATCTCATGACATCAGTTTTTCCCTAGTCACGGACCCTCGTCCCAGGTCAAATGATACTCCAGATTTTATACTGAAGACAATACTGGCAGCCAATTCTGTAGGTTTACCAGCTAAGAAAAAAAAATCCAAACAGTCCTGAAATCAAGCATCTTTCTTTGAATCCATATGTATAGTTTTTCACAAAGGACGGGCTAACAGTTTTCCAACCAGGTGTGTTCTGTCTGACAGATAGTGCAGAATGCACTCAGTTCTTGATTAGCATGTCAAAAGATTTCTTTGACAGGTAATTTAGTCGCCAGGGTATCTACCATGTAAATGTTTGTGAGAGCGAACAATAGGGATGTTACTAGTGTTCAATAACTGAATACTTTCTCATACTAGCAAACGCTTTAATCTAGGTGTATCTAATTACAAGGGTTAAATAATGTAATAGTAAACAGGATATAGATGGGCAAAAATTATGCAATTAACATCACATTTAATCTCTATTAACACACAAGTGAATTGGCCTATGGATCTAGCGGCTGAGCTACTCTGTCAGTGTCATAGTCTGTATGATTAGGTACATATTGTGGCTCCAAGAGCCAAAGCAGCTCTTGAGGAAGGTGTGAAAAAATGCACCACCCAATAGGCAATAACTGCTGGCATTATATCTGTGGTGGCCCCCTTTGCCTCTGGAGGTGAGGAAGAGAACATGTTCAATAGCAGTTATTGTTAAAAAACTAGGAATGTACATGAGTACTCCAGTCAACTACTTGCATTCCTTCCCTCCCCGCCACACCCAGAGACAGCAAGGGGGGCAGGAGGGAAGCAGGAGGCAATGCTGGGGGTTGTTGCCTCTCCCTCCTCCCCTTCCCCCATGCTGCTGCCTCTAACAGAGGCAGCAACACAGGATGGGGCATGGGAGGCTGCCATGATGCAGTCTCTGTCCACAGTAGCCTGGGCAAGTCCAGCTCAGTCCTAACTTGCACTGGGTCTGGAAGCTAACCCCACTCTGGCTCTGCATTTTAAAATGTAGTAATAGCCAGGTGGCTCTTACTACATTTAAAATGCAGAGCTGCAGCGGGGGTAGGTCCCGGATCTGGCACATGCCAAGACTGAGCCAGGCTTACTGAGTTCCAGCTCGTGCTGGGTCCGGGACCTACCCCCACCTGAGGCTCTGCAGTTTAAATGTGGTAGGGGCCCGGCTTCTTGCGGACTCAGCTCCTACTACATTTAAACTGCAGAGCCACAGCAGGGGTAGCTGCTGGACCTGGGACAGAGCACCTCCCCTTATCAGCTAATCACGTAATTGATACAAATTGTGTTGTCTACATGGATTAGCCAATTACCTGCCTCTTAACATCCTTACTAAAAACGTTCCTCATGTGTATAATGGGCTGTCCAGTGCATGTCTGCTTAGCAGTGAATGGAAGACTGAATCATAGCCATGCCTAGACACATGTCTCTTGGGACAGTGTGCCTTCATGAAGCTGCAGGAGGTCATCTTTGGCACTATTGCCTCTTCTGCTTTCATTCCCATTAGCATACCAACACACAGCAGCTCTGTGCAAATACATGACTGAGTATAGCCCTCTGATTGGGAAGAATGGTTTTAAAAACAGTATCGAGGTGGAGGCTTGCCAACGGATTTAAATGCCATAGAAAGTCCTTCAGCAATGGGTATTTTGTGACTGATATTGCAGAAGCTATAGTGACTTGTAGTAATGGGTTCCGAAGAGTTTGAATGAACTGTGAGTTGAAATTTCAACAACTAGAGGGAACATCTTCACTGGTACTGTCTATTGCACTAAATCAGGATCAGGCTTAGTAACTGAACATGGGCTCTTGGCTACTTGTTCCTACTTCAAGGTGGTAATGTATTGACCATTTGCATTGGGTTTGGTTTGGTTATTTTGGCATCTGGCCAGAGAAGGTTTTGGTTGAAAGAAATACAAGATCTTAGTTCCCCTGAAACTGGGCAAGTTATTTAGGTTTTAAGGAATTTTGCCACGACTATGAATCTGTTTGGTGTTTTATACCTCTGACCACTATTAGAAAGCTGAAATGTGTACATCTGCCATCATCTACGTGACTCTGTATGTTGAAATGCAGATTAAATTACAAGGAAAGAGGCATCTGTTATTTCGTGAACTGTAAAGAGCAAACATATATAATGGGCTATTTTAGAATTTTGGTTAATAGTTTCAGTGATAATTTCTAAATATAAATGTTCAGACAAAAAAGTCACATGTGCATTGTCACAGGGTGGGTATGCCCAGCCCCCTAAGGAGCAGGACCCTAAACCTTTAAGACCCCCCAAAGAGGGCATCCCATGTGCAGCCCAGTCTGTTTGGCTCAGAGCCAATTACACCCCCTTGTCTCTACCATGATAGTCCAGCCTAGCAGCCACAGACAGTAAAACACCCCTTCTTGAAGGGAAGTGAGGCCTAGCAGACAAATTCTGTTCCCACTCCCTTCCCTCAGAGAAAGGGGAAGTGCAGATGCTCCTTCTTGCGCAAGAGCCTCTTCTGAAAAAAATGGTGGCTCAGGTATGCAAATGAGGCTCAGAGATATTCCACGTTTAGCCTCATTTGCATATGACTCGCGCAAGAAGCCGCAAGTGTAGACATAGCCCTAGTGTACTAAGTCCATAATCAACGCTCTGTTCTCCAGGAGTAAGGCCAGAGTCAGCATCACAACTCTAGCGCCACCCCTTGGGGGTGTGGTAGTGAGGTGGAGGACCCGGGCCCACCCTCTCCACTGAGTCCCAGCCCATGGCGCTGTCAGCGATGAGCTTGTCCCACCACTAGCTCAGCCGGCAATCTGCCCGATGAAGAATTAACTCCCTACACTGGGCTACTTCCTACCAGACTCACCAAGGATGAATTCACCAGTTTCCTCTGGACTGGAAGCTTCTCTGGCCATTCCTTGCTGACTGGCCTCTGTAGTTCAGTCCGTCTGTAGCTCTTCCTCCAGCATTCTTCCTCCCCCTTCCCTTCCTCAGTGGTGGTCAGCCCCGACTGAGCTGCTCTGCCAGCCTTTATTATCAGTCCTCCAACAGGAGCATGCCCACCAAAGCTGTGGCAGTGGGGCTTTCTTGGCCAGGTAGCTCTGGTTAACCCTTGCTGGTCCAGTGCACAGTTGGCACACCCCATCATAGATAAAAGCAGAATTCAGAAAATATTCAGGGTCAAGAATATAGATTAGATGCTGGGATACCACAATGAAAGGTACAAAATAAATGCCTAGTAATAAGTAACATATGTTCGGTAGTAGAGTCATAGAACACTAGAACTGGGAGGGATCATGAGTGGTCATTGAGTCCAGTCCCCTGCCCTCATGGCAGGACCCAGCACCATCTAGCTCATCCCTGATAGCAGGTTGGATAGAGATCTTTTAAATATCTCGAGTGATGGAGTAATTAGACCCATGTATTAAAATTAGGTGCAAGACATAGGAATGTTATTTACTGACCAACATTTTAAGACTGTTTTCTCATCAGTTCACGTATGAATGAGATTCTTGCATGCATACTGCCCAGTTACCATGTTCTGACACAAAACTTTAAGAGGAAAACAGAGGTGTAAAACACAAAAATCTTCTCTTTGCCAAGAGGGACCTAATACAGACCATAAATCTCATGCTAAAGCTAAATAAACCATCCCCCGTAAGGAGTTGTTTGAAATGCTAAATTATAGTCTGATATTCTCTGCAATTGGGATGATTTTTCTAGTCATGGTTGGTGGCCTGCTCAAATTGTGCTTTTTTTCCTCCTTGGTTAAGGAGATTATTCTTGTATGTAAAGAAGACAAAATAAATCCAACTGGTGATCTTGTCTGAAAAATGACTGCTCGAAGAGAAATACTGTCCTTGTTTAGCAAGTCTCATTTCAGGACATGCTGTAAACTGTAGCAAGAACACAGCAGGCAGAATAATGTTTTAGGCAGTGTTGCTGCTTCAAGTCATGTATGGTTTATGGTGCATTAGCTGCCTTGAGGAGGGGAAGGGAAGACAAGAAAGGCTGCCTCAAATCAGGCGGTAAGAAATGATAATGTCATCAAAATGGTTATAAAAATATTAAAGTGATTTTATCTTAGAGTAATTGCTTGCTGCTCAACCGTACTCATCTGTGATGGATGCACTCTTAGTGTTTTGCCTTGTCTTGCCCTTTATTGTAGTTACTACATGTTGGAAAACCGACCAAGGAACATCTATGGCATGGTTTGCTACTCATGCTTGTTGGCACCTCCTCACACCAAAGAATGTAAGTGTTCCTTATTTGTTATACATTTCATTTGGTTTTTACTTCGATTCAGTCAGAAGCTTCATATGCAGCTCAGCATTTTGCTGATGCATATGCCAGTCAAAAATCAGAGTCAACTCTCAGGAAAGTTGTGTTCCAGCAAGACCATACTGCAATTTAATCATACAATTCAGGAACATTAGAACTTTTACTTTTATATCCTATTATTCTGTCTTGTAGTGTTTTTCCATATCCAAAATTACTCATATGTGATCAATTATCCTTTTCTTTAACTGGCTGCTCGCTAGTCCTTCAGTATCTTTAGGACTCGTGAGTTTCCAGTTTCTCTGAGGATACCATACTGGGTGATAAGCAATACTGGAATTCTAATTAAATGCTAGTTCCAATTAGCCACTCCTCTGCTGGGTTCCTGCACCTTCCTTACAAAGTCAAAAAGCAGGGAGAGAGGGTCTGCCAAAAAGGCCGGGGTAAGAAAGAGCGGATATACAGCTGGTAATATGTTTTAGCGGGAAGAGCAAGGCTAGTGAATGAAGATGGGTCCCTTTTGGAGTTCAAACTAAGAAGGAGAAAAAGGTCTTATTTAATAAAAGCAGAAAGAGCAGGATTAGAAGCAAATATGGTGTATGGCTATATTGTGAAGAAAGAAAGAGAGGGGAAGAAGCTAAGATTACTTGTCTCCTGTTGCTACATTTGCACAATCAGGGCAAGAACAACTACTTTTGGGGTTAGTAAGGTGAAAACTGGAAACAAAGATATCCCTCACAGTACATGTAACATCATCTCATTAGTTTGGCATAAAGCAGTGGTTGTCTTCTAATCACACAGCCTCACCCTGTGGTCACTGGGAAGCCACCAAATATG